TTCCAGTACACCAACATTTTTTCTTTTGAGAATAAAAATCCTGTTGCAAATTCAGTCCTAAAAAGAAAGCAAACAAATTTAAAAGTTGCTAATCACAATGATAAAAGAACGTGGTACTGGATCAAGGCTAATTTGAATGGGAGAGATGTAGATTAAAAGAGTGAAATTCATTAAACAGCAGACCTCCAGTCACTAGCATCTAAATTCAGTTTTCAGGTTAGGTATTTATCAAGCATTCCTATATTCCAGTACAGCTCAACAAACAAACAACAACAACAACAAAATAACAAAGAATCTTAAGTTTTAGAAGTGACATACGCTATTTTGAGAGCTCTCTACATAAGGAAGGACTGGTTATCCAAAATGAGATAATATTTTTTATTTTATCTATCTGTATTAATGATTATGTAGAAAATGCATTTAAGAACAATTGACCAATTAATCAGCATACATTTTTAAAATATCCAACTGCAATGCCTATTTCCTCAGCCAAAGGAATCCCTCCTTGCCATCATTGCCTTTTTTAGCTCTTAACATGCACTCTTCAGCTCTTCAGGGGGAAGGATGTAGGACACAGGGCGGTAATTTTTACAAAGTGTTAATATTGGTGGTAAGACATGTATCTACAGAAGATTATTGATGTACTAGGATCACACTAAAAGAGACTACTCTTTGAAGACTCTGTAATCCAACTACCCATGCATCTTCATGTGAGCAAAACCAAGATTTCTATTTGCAAACATTGTGAAAACCAGCCTCCTTGCAACTGGTTTTGACTGCACAGCACAACTGCTTCCTCCACTCAATTGAGCCTACATTATGAAACATGGCTTGCTAAGGTATTACTAGAAGTAGTAAACAATTACCAGAGATTTAAAGAAAAAGCCAATAAAGTTGAGTCAAAAGCTGCAAGAGCAACAGTTTGTGCTTGTCATCCAGTCATCATGGAATTCTGATGCAAATACCTGAGAGGTCAGGCTTTAAACAGACATGCCTGATGGTGGGATGAATACATACACTGTGACTACATGGCATATTTTGCGTGCACTGTGTTAATTCCAAGTTTCTGTCTTCAAACCACTTTTCAAACCAACCCCAACCCCTCAGCTCATCTGATTTTAATTTTTTAATTTGTTTCATATAAAATATGGTTTAAACAGAGAATATAAGAAATCACGGAGGTGCATTAAATGACTAAACAGGTGTCTGCTGTGTTTACATAGAGTAAAACATTACAAGGATTTGGGGGGGAAAAAAAACAAAAACACCCACTAGGTACAAAATACAGTTTGTCAATCTCAACTCATCTGTACCTCTGAACTAGCATTCCAATTTCATTCAGATATAAGCTGTTTTTACTTTTCACTAATCTATATAAGCAGCACATGAGTGAGTTTTAACATAAAATTTGAGTCCTCATGCATGCTTTCTGAAATTAGAGTTGTAGTACAATGAATCTTGAAAACTATAAAGAAAAACTAAACAGCAACTAAAAATGCAAAGGACTTTCTTTGGCAAAGATTTTAACTGTTTGGAAATTGTTTATTTTAAACTGACATTTTATTTAAGTATCCTATTCAGCAATTATGAGAGTAATTTTCCCCCACATTTCATTTTAATTGAAACGCACCATTGTTGTATCAAACTTTTCCTAACAATGGCACAATAAAAGCTGCCTTCACTCTTAAATACCGGGGAAAGATTCCACGATGTAATTTTATGTACAGTATATCACATGCTCACTTAGTAATGTTTGAATCACAACTTCTGCCAAATAAAGTATTAAAACAAGAAAATAGGTGCTGGTAAAGAATAAAACTGAATACCTAATTCATTTATTTTTAATGAAACAGCCAAGAAACTATTCCAGTCAATTCAAGTGTACTAGAAATAAACACTCATTTATCAACCTCAGGTCTTGCAAGCCTATTAAGTGCATCTCCACAATCCAATACTTGTACCATTATAGCAGATGTATCTTTAAAACTAATGTTTCACTGTAAATCATACAATTTCAGCCATTCTCTGAGAAGACACCGAATGTGGAACTGCTTCTGGAAAGGTTAAATTGGTCAGGTAGCACTGGGATAAATATATTTGAATAAATACACAAGGCTTCTGAAATAAATTCCTCTCTGACTTGCAGAAAGAATAACCCTTTAAAGAAAAAAAAAAAAAAAGACAGGAGATCCTACCTTTGGTAAGGATTTTAAATTCTAGTTTAAGAAACAAAAGTTGAAATGCTTTTAAAATTAGTCTCATGCAATTCACTTCTAACTTGAAAACACTGAGACAATTTTCATTATTTAAAACTATATGATATTTAAGCAAATCTTTGTTTTGCAATTAGACTAATACCACTTAATTTTAGATACTTACAGGTGAATTCACACTTTGCTTGTTACCTTAGGACATATAAACATATGCCAATGACAATAAAGAATGTATGTTAATATGCAAAATGTTAATACATGCCATCTGGAGAGCTAATGAACAATCAAGAGATTCCAGATTAAACTACAGAATTTTCCCTTCGTATCTTTAGGACAACACTGTCAAGTTCAATCTATTCACTTAGACTCCAGAATCAATTTTTCAAACTTTATGACAGGTCTAATAGTTTCCACCTGTTCCTCTTGCTTGACTTTTGACTGGCACGTTACCAGCCAGGGTGGAAATGTAGACAAAGACCCCTATTAGGCTCCGGCTGTTTCTCTACTGTGAGGTCACTCAGCCATTAAATTAGTTCCAGCCCACTTTCTCCTTCGATGTCTTAATTTTTGGGGGGTATGAAGGTTTGGGGAAATGAAAAGGAAGAGAGACAAAACTTTGCAATTCAGTCTGTGGGAGGGACTTAAGAAAATCTAAAGCCACAGAAGCTAAATGCTACATTCATTTATAATTTACTAAATAAATTTGCTACTAATCCAATGGAATAAGTTATTGATGTATCTGAGTCATATTTTCAGTCATCACAAACTTTGGCTATTTTGCTTATTGCAATATTTGATTACATATATGTACATATACATATAATATATACTTACAAATGACAAACAGGTAATTTTTTGTATGTGTACAAGAAAAGCAGCTCTTTTTCCCAATACATACTTTCCTTTTACTTAGAACTGGCAAGTAGAAAAAAAGTGACATATTATATATCCTAAGGCATCTATATTGGTTCATATGGAAGCACATTATAAACTGACATACTTTTCTTCTTTGAAAAATATCTAATAGAGAATTGCATCAATTTCTAGCAGTTTATGCATTGATACTCTTTATGAAGTTTGCTGAAGTACAAATGACACCACATATTCTTTCATCTATGGCAACAGTGTATTTACAGTAACATCAACCACAACATTTAAGACAAACATTTTGAATTATTAAAACAAAAGGCTTTTTGTAAGAAATTTTATTTCCCAAACTATAATCCAAGTAGGACCATCTTCTCACCTGAGAGACAGATCTGGTTTACATCTGGTTTACAGACAGAAAACCAGCTACTTGAGTTGCATCACAAGGGGGAAAGTCTTTAAGACTCACTTCATTACTTTTGGACTACTTAGTAAGAAAAAAATCTGAGAATTGAACACCCTGCTGTGACAACACTTTGGAGATAAAAGGTTCCAGGTTCACTGAAAAGTCAAGACCACTTCACTCAGCTCCCTTGCCTATTGGATGTTAAAAATAAAATAACCATACGTAATTATATTTAGCTTGTGATATCTAAATAAACTCACAAATTCCTAATAGTATGCTTCATCTTTCTGAGAGGTGTAGATATTGGTACTGAGAACCACCAAAAACAACTGTCAATGATTAAACGTGCTGACATATTAAGTTATGACTCCTACTGTTTCTTCCCAGTAAGTCTTCCTTCAGTCCAATGGGCTTGAATGAAAAGAACTGAATACTACAAATGTTTCAATTAAAAAGCCCTTTTTCCCTTTCAGGCTCTACTGAAAAAGAAAGCCTGCCTATGCCCAAAAGCTCTCATAAAATCAGCTGCAGTACCAGGATGTACATCTGGGAAAAGGGTTGTGGCAAAATTGGACAGCATCATTTTTTAACATATGAACATATGTACATACGTACATACACAAAATAGTTTGGCTTTGAAGAAGTTTATATTTGATTCCAAGTAAAGCTATTATTACTAGTTAACTAACCAGATACAATAACATTCAAGGCTGTTTATCTGATTATGTTCATAGAAAAATCCAGATCAAAATTACTGAAGTTATTTTCAACAGTAAAATTCACCTGCAATTTCTGTAAGTGAATGAATATTGATATTCAAAAGTGTCTATCAAGAAGAGTTATTGGTACAGGTAGAAACATACAGAAGAATCTGTTCTGAAGAGCAACGACTTCTCAAAGGCAGTTTGATCCATCAGACTACTTCATGTTCCGAAACATAACAGTATATCTTTTGTACACAGGTTCCAATCTAAAATTTGGAAGCTGTGATTTTCATATCACTTAATCCCATTCAAAACTCTAACAAACTACTTCCTCAGAGATATCTCACAACTCATTCACAAGCGTCATCTGCGTGGTGATGAAGAAAATGCCTACCATAACCCTAAATGACGTTTAAAACGAGCGAACAAACAAACCACCAAGCACCAAAGAACATTTTAGTGGAATATTGAGCAAAACAATATTAAACAGAATGAAGATACAGCAATGTTAAAACTAATGCCCCAATCTATTTGGTAACAATTAAGGTGACCAATAAATAAAACGTTGTCATGCTCAAACCTTCCCAATCTTCATAGCTTAGCTTTTTATACACTACCAATTAATATTCTGTGAACACAAAATTCTCTTTTACGTCCTATCTGAAATACAATCAGCTGCTTTGACTTTGGGTACCTTGTAGGTGAGAAATTAAAAAAAGAGAAAAATGCTTCTTTCTAAAAAATGTGTTTCTATAATTGCACATTCTGGATCAGAAAGCTTACTCAAGATGGTCTAGATCACTGTCTTACCCGTCTAGAAGATTCATTGTTGTGGTGGTAACTTCAGTAAATAAAACAATCTTTCCAAGTTTCTTTGTTTGTAGATTCTGCTGATATGTCTCCAGGCTGAAATGTTCTGATGAGAAGTTTCCCATCTCGGTGATGACTGACATGAAAGATGGAGTTATCTCCATTTTCGATTCACAAGATGAAACAAATTTAAGAGATACTTTGCTGGATTCTATTAATCCTTCAGCATTTACATTCTCCTCAAGCCATTTCAAAACTGTAAGATGGATTTCCTGTGGGCAAGGGAAATAAAATAAGACCAAGAAATACAGACCAGAATATAGGAAGATACATAAACATTCTTCTGAGAACATTCACATTCATGTAATCACATCCTATTTCAAAATAGGATAAATTAACTCTATTTCCTCTTTGAAGATCAGTTTCCGTCACTTGTCCTACTTTGGCCTCTCCTGACTAGTTGGTACAGTCTTCCAAAACTTGAGGCCATGCTCAATTGCAGGTTAAGGCTTAACCTTTCCCTGTAACAGGGGTTGTGACCATCAGCTTAACAGAAGCTTCACAACTATTACCTTACACCAATGTGGCTGTTAAGTAGCCAGCTAAAGCAGAAGCATGTAACACAAAGAAGCACACAACTAAGAAATGTTTATACCACTGTACAAAACATTTGTAAATATGCTTGCTCCCTTGTCTTCTAGCTATGCCATTGGCTGTGACATTTCTTTGCAAAGTATTTTAAATAGAAAGTATAAACATGCTGTATGTTCATATAATTTTATATATATACATACCAAAACATTTATTTCACCTTTATCTTATTTAGAAATACATTTTACTGAATGAGAAATGAAGAAATGAATTAGTGCAATCATTATCTGTCTGGTGATGCCCTCTTTCTGGAGATATCTAATATGAGGTTAGGACATTTGGCATAAAAAGTTTACTTTTCTCATAGAAGCTGTTAAGAGTTAACAGTCCACAAAAACGCATGCTGCGACTTCTTTTTGCAAAGTATATAGCTTACATTTTGAAGAGCTCTGCTTTCCCTAGAGACAGTGTCATCTCTTTCTCACATGTACACTTTCACAAATAAAAACTTAAACAGAATTAGATGGAAGCTAATTAAAAAAAAAAAAGAAAAGAAAAAAGAAAAACAATAAAATTGAGCTAATAGCAAAAAAATGATAAGCTAATACACAATCTATTGAATGTAAACCAGGAAACTGGTTAAAAAGCTATTTATTCACTGATTAAGGTGATGGATACTTTATGTGGTATACATAGCATTGTGAGGCAGAAATATAGGAATGTGTGCAACCTGGTGTAGGGATCCTGCTTTGGCAGGGGGGTTGGACTCAATGATCTCTGGAGGTCCCTTCCAACCCCTATGATTCTGTGATTCTGTGATTCTGTGATAACAAGATACTGAAATGTATGGACAAATGATTCCTCAGAATACTAAAACGTGAGCACAACCATCAAAATGGACCTGGGAGCAAAATTCTAAAATGTGGCCCTCATAACTTACTCTCACTTTCAGAAGATAATAATGAAAACCACAAAAAAATGTGTATTCTATTCTACCTAAAGTAATGCATCAGTGATTCTTACTTTCAAATTTTCTATGACATTTGACTTTTAATTCAAAATCTTCTCTTAGATGCATAGTTTCTAACTATGTGCCTCTTCTCATTATGGCAGTATCTGAAAAGCACAATGCTGTGGGTTTTCTAAGCTAGTTCTGAAGCCTAGCTCTCTTGCTTTTGAAAAAGGTGCCCCTGAGCTCCTGTCCACTCTTTAAAACCTACAAACTGCAATTAAAAGCAAGCTTCCTATAAATAGTTATCTATCCAAGGAATTACCCCAATTTTCCAAATCCCACTGTTGTATCTTATAAAGGAATGAGAAAAGTGGTTCTGTTTCTAACACCTTTCTACGGATTTTCCATCCTCAGAAACTACACTTTCTCAAGTTTCACATGGACACTGCTTCTGGTGTGGCATTTTTGGAAGGAGAACATCAGCTGACTTACTGTTTTGCAATCCTATAGAAGGATAACTAAGCATAACATGAAGAAATGAAAAGAAATGAACGTTCTTTTTCTAAAAGCAATCAAGAACTAGATAATAAGATAAGACTATCTCTAGCTACATTTTAGTTACAGATAAACTACCTCTCATTTCTCCATTTAACTTGGATAAAATATGTTTTAGATATTTTCTTCACTTTTTTTTTTTACATCATACATGATGATGTAGCATAAATGGTTTAATGAACACTTCTTTGATTTGATCTGCATGAACCACTTGTATCTTCACTCACTAATACCACAGGCTGCTAAACTCTTTTCAGACTCTTGTTCTCGTTTTATACACACAATAACTTACTAACTGCAGCTGATATTTAGAAAATAATACAGCTTTAATTTTTGTGAGGGAGCGTAAGAAAACTGTGCTTCATCTGGCAGTGCATTTTCCTGTTGCTCTCTGAACACAGAATTTCATTTAGCATGAATGCCTGGATGCAATTCCTACACACAAAATCATCATTTTAACTCACATAAAGATGGATTTACAGACTCACAGAAACAGACATTAAATTAAAAAGTAAGGGTGCTTAAAGTGTTGTCACATTCCAAGCAAACAACAGAAGTGTTTGAAATTATGCATCAAAAAGTCCCGTGTACTTTTGCCTCAACATATTCTCGGAAAAGCCTGAAATAGCATATATTCATGTGTGAGGTTACATTATTACAAATAAGCCACACAGTTCCTAACATTTATCCTCTTCAGCATATTCTTTCAAGCGATCTTTCCTCCCACACTTCTTGATTTCATCTTCTTGCTTCTTATGCATATTGAGACATTTAAGATTTGTTACATTCATGTAATTGTGAAGAAAATGTTTCCCACAATGTATACGTGCTTACTGAATTGATGAAAAATATAAACACAAATACTACGTAATCAAAAACAGCATTTTTAGAATTTTCTAAAGCAAACAAATGAAACCAACAGACATTTTTACATTTTTAGCAAGCAAACTCTCAAGCCCTACCCCAAATCCACACTAGAAAAATTAATTTTCATCATAAGAAATTCCTTCATATAGTCAGCTACAGAAACATGAATGCTGAACCAATGTTTTTGGTCCCCACCATTAAACTGGCACACAGAGAAATAAATTTTTATGTAATGACATAAACATATACAAGGAGTCAGGGCTAACCTTTGCTTCAACTCCATTGGAAAAAAAAAAAAATCACGTCAGAACCAGAACTGTGCAATTTGTTGCTAAGCTCAGGATTCAGCTTTGAATTCAAAACGAGGAACCTAACACCATTTATGGGATGTAGGCAGAAAGCAAACCTATTCCCAGCTGCGTACATCGTTCTGCAGCAACCTCTGGTGGCCACTTAAAAGTAAGTGGTGGTTCCAAACACTGCCTGGCCCTATGTACCTCTGGGACCATCAGGTGTGTCAAGCAAGGCACTCAACAGAGACACAAGGTAAGGGAATACCAGAGATCCTGGCCACTGCTTGCTCTGATCTACAGCTCATTATCAAGATCCTAAAACACACAGATACAAATCTTACATGAGTATGCATGCAAAAAAGTTGTAGCTGTCACGTATCCAGGCACTCACAGCATCTGCAGCTACATACAAATACAATCATGCTAAAATCACTACTGTGCAAATTATTAGCAACGTACTTAATACATAGAGAAACTACATAGGATGACATAAATATGTTTAAAATTGTTATCCATCATTACTGCATCATTTTTGGCAGGGAGAATAGAAGTCAAGACAAGTTTAATTCTCTATGTCTGAAAACTGTTCTATTTTCAAATCAATTTGCTACGTACATTCTTTAAACAAAAGATACTGCCATTTTCTTTCTTAAACAGAGAATGAAATTTGACATCTCAGCTGAATGACCAGATGGCAAGAGGTTATATCAGCTTTTCAAGTAAGACTCAACCATGAACTTTACATCTACAAAAAGAAAAAATTTCTAGTCATATTTTAAATGACAAAAGCACAATATGTTTTCAAGGCATTGTAAAAAGCAATTATCAAAAGCAGAAAAGCACTATACTAACAGGAACCACTCACCAGTTCTCATTAACAAGTTTTTCCCACGCACTCCAAAGTGAAACCTGAATTCCAAAGGACACGGACATGGAAAGAAGCAGAATTTCAAAGTGGTGACAGCCTCACTGACCTGGTACTGAGGGACAAATGTATGAACAAGCTGAGTTTTGACTGTCAAACTGAAAATGTAATGAAAGGAAAAGTTGTTCTGAAGCAGATAGGGAAATGGAGTGGATGGCTCCACAGATTCACAAAATCCACAGAAATAGAGTAAAGCCACTGCATACTTTGTACACTCTTCCATCAGCAGAGAATTTTATGGGGTTCACTGCATCAAGGATTGGAGGTCTGGCATTGTAAGTTATTGAACTAAAGTATAAGTGGTAATTGCAACATTAAGAAGGAAGAGTAAAAGCTCTATTTTTTAAATCATTTAACATCTGCCTTCTATGATTTTAAGATTTTGGTCAAGTGTGTGAAGGAACTGCTATACAACAGTATTCTTTTGCTGTATAAAAATCTTTTTTTGTAATCATTAGCTTCCCTTTCTCCTAATGCTTACTTAGCAGTTGAGATCGAACAATAAGAAGAAATGAGGCAGAAACCAGATTAAAAAAACAAACAAACAACAACAACAAAAAAACAGCTGTACATGCACCCTTCTCTGTTGTATTATAAAATAGCAGAAAATTATAGTTCCTGATGGAGATGATTTTATTTGCACCTGGGCTATATCAGTTAACGAGACTTATACACTAAGCACATAAACTTTCAATTTAAATTGTAAAAAATAATCCCAATTCCAAGGTTTTATTCTTATATTCTATTTATACATTTTATTCTATGCATTTCCTTACTTATGTATATAAATATGTACATAGTCAGACACATATATGCATCATCCCCCCTGCACACACTGGGCATATTTGGGAGCTGGTCTTTTCTACCAAACTTTTTGACAATAAATCTTAAATTCTGTATCAATGGAATTCTTTGTTGAAACAAAGCTTCAGTCACAGCCTAAATTCATTTGGTTTTTATTAAAAACATGAAGGCAAAACTGAATGAAAGCTAAAAATAAAATGCCATAAAATGAACAAACATTATACATCGCTTAGCGCTCTACTTTCTTTGGAGGAAAAATCAGACAAATTTAACCAGCGATGCTCT